ATACATGCGAAGTCCTCGTCACGTGATTCCGCCCATCAGATACCTTGAAACCCATGCCCGTATCTTATTTCTAAAACAACTTTGAGCCTAGGGACTCTAAAAAGTACAGGATAAAAGTCTAAAAAAAAAGACTCAACCTGCAAAATAACGTGGTTAGTATAGACTATAGGCATGCAACGTAGTGAAGAATGCCCGGTGGGAGGAGAGCTAACCAAGCATCTGCAGAAAATGGGTTAATGCTCTTCCTTGTTGGACACGGGGGCAAGAAAATTTTCCCTAATACACTAGTGCGCAAGTCTCAAGCCCTAGTAAACACATAAAAGAAGTAAGCAAAGGAAGTGTGGCTAAGGCACAAAACAACAGAGAACACTAGCCAGGATATCAAAAATACTATCTAAACACCCTAGTCCTAGCCTTGCAAACCATCTACAGCATTGTGTCCCAGTCACATCAACTAGGTCTGTGCAAGGTGTGCTTAAAATACGCGTGTTGATCATGATGCTATAATTCGCAATGCTCGCTGAGTTGTCCATGCAAGCAATGGTTATTAAAGCATTACAACCAATAACGTACCACTCAACTAATGGATGTCGTTGATTCATAGTGAAATGCAAAGTGATTTGGTGCATTGTGACTGCTTTATCGAGATAAAAGCAATCACAATATATCAAATATTTGTCACAAGTATATGGTAGCATACCTAATGATGAACATGCCAATAGTGCAAAGATGCAAATGCTCAATCAAAAACACAGGAAAACACATGCTCCATGCAAAAGAGTGTACTCATGGCAATGCAGGGGCACTGCCATGGAGGAAGGGTAATATGGCTCGTGCACCAAATAGGTTCAGATACTAAGAAGCGTGGTCCGGTCAAAGTTAGAATAATATACCCAAGTGAAAATACACCTTGAACTAAACAGGTTCAAAGGCTGGGAAGCGTTACTTGTGCTAAGTGACATGATGTAAAATGCAGAAGTGTACTGACAACATGCACCGTATAGGTTCAGGGCTATGAAGCGTGACCTATGCAAGATGGCATGAGGAGGGAGACAAAGTGCACTAGATAAATTCAAGGCCTATGAAGCATGAACTATGCTAAATGACACAAACGAAATGTGCAGGTGAACACAAACTATGCACAAGATGGGCTTAGGGGAGTGGCACAGTGCGACATACATACGACATTCCAGAATGGCGTCGTAGGAAGTGAAATGGTGTTACTCTCGTCAGGGAGAGTTATGCACTGAATAGGCTTGAAGTAGGAGCCATCCTCGAAGAAGGCACGTGAGTGTAGTGAGCATTTGAGGACATAGGCTCAAATAAAGACCTCAAACATGCAGAATATGAACATACAAGATGTTATGCATAAAAACATGCAAAAGTGCAAAAGTGCAAACACATATGATGTGGTGCATGATGACATATGGATGTCAAGAAGTAGATGCATGAGATATTCTACCCAAGCAGGGCACTAATACCCACTATGAACATATGAGGACATATGCTCATAAGTGTATGTTGCCCATCGGGGTATTTATTATTTTCCCGCTACTCTCCGACCGACACGGGGCTTTTGGATGTCGTGTAGATTCGAATATTTGGGTTTTTTGAATAATCAAGCATCTCACCCAAAGTAGTAAACCACCTCAAAAGGTTGAAATACAACCATGATGTATTTGATTATTTGAACATAGAAAATGTTGGATATCTACACTGGTTTGCGATTAAATCTGACAGGACACTTCCCCTATCTAATCTGAAGACTAAATAGGGTTTAGATTAATTTTGGGATCATATCCTTTCTATAGGGGCAAACCTCTATAGTTAATTACATTTTAAGCAACCGAAGCTACTTAAGAAAACTCTCGATTAAGACGGTAAATTTTTGCTCATGAAGTTGAACTTGTCGTTTCTAAAGAAAGATTTTAATATTTCATCATGATGTTTTATTAGAATATTAGGACTTATACTGCACGACATACAATCATGCAAGAGCCTAAAGGTAAGGATTTACATCATAGCTGGAAGAACAACCTAGAAGTCCTCGGGAGAAGTTCACCGATAGAAGTGAAACTTCGAGGCCCGAATCTAAAATAAGGGAAAACATGCAATACAATAAACTGGCAACCCTGCCTGGAAATGGCTGCCACCTAAACCATCCAATCGTATTCAAAACCATGAATGACCAATCTCGATGATGCAAGATAGGGTAGGTTGTTGTTTATTTGTAGGCCTTACAACTTGATTATAGATCAAACTGCCTAGGTATGTCTGTTATGCATAATGTCTTAAGACTTGAAGTGAACATATTTTTGAAATTTTAAACTTCAATTCTTTATGCCTCACCTTAGTTTTAATTGGTGTTGAGCACATCGAAGCAGGTTGTATACTGGATTATGCAAGTCCTTGATGATGAATTCATAGAAGATTTGTTTCAAAAGGCCAATCATATGCAAGGGCAAAACTCACTCTATATGAGTGAGGGCCTGAAGATAGGGAATAGGAGCAATATATTATGCATATGTATACATATCATGTTATTGTTCATATTCCCAAGTCGAAAGGGAGTTCCCTCTTAGTATTATTTGATGTCAATTGAGGTTGTTTAGATGTATGAATTTTCTATGGTTGTGAAAGCAGTGATTTACACGGTTTAGGTTTAGTTTTGGGTTATGAGTTTCATTTTGAAAAGTTAAGTTGAAGTTTTTTTAGGTTGGATAGAAGGTTTAGTCCTTAAGCGAGCTTATCGGTAATCCAGGCAAAAGACAAAAATGTAAATATCGGCTTATAATTTGAGCAGACTCATCGAATGAAAAAAAGACAAAGTAACATTATGAGCACCAACCCTGACTTATGTCAGACTCTTCAACTGACATCATCTGCACTACTTCTGATATATTAGTTGAGGTTCATCCTTCGTTTTGTGTTTTATCTTCTTTTGGATAGTTCAGATATTTATAGTCAAATGACCATCACTGTCTAACTTTACAAAAGAAAAGAAGACTCGTAGGAAAAATCCTAAGTTATTACAACAACTTATTTATTTAAAGAAGCCCTACAAAACAGAGCTAGCACACCTTCATAGCATGTAAAGTAAATTAAGATGACAATTTGTAGGTTGTCCCGAGCAGTCTTGCAAAACAGAGTCAGTATGATTCATTTTAATGTAAGAGAGAAAAATGGGTTCATTTTGATTATTATTGTTTTTTATTTAAAACAACTCAGTCAAGATGTCCATGACTTTCTGTCGTCCCTAGGTTGTCGGGTTTCCTGATCTATTTAGTCTAGCGAGGTTATCGGGTTCCCATTTCTTCTTTCTTACTATGTTCATCCCTATGAAAGAGATTAGATCCTCATATATTTCTCCTCTTCAACTTTCAAGAACACTATTGAGGATAATTTTTTCCTGGATTTCATCATCAATCTTCGCAAGCCTCTGCGAAAGCCGACAAATCACTTGGTTGGCAGAAGGAAGGAAGGGGGAAGTGGGGTTTACCGGCCGTCAGAAGGCGGTGCTGATGGCTGGAGGTAGTTCGCAGGATTAGGTGGGTTGATTGGAGGGCTAGAGGCAGCAGTTGGGAAGATTGGAGAGGGTTGTGGCAGCAGGTGGGTTGGTTGGAAGTCACTTTAGTAAGTAGGAAAGAAAGGGGAGGTGCGCATGTAGATGATTGAGGGGAGATGTGCAGTAGCAAGAAGGATGACTATCCCCGTCGGAGCAAGGTACAATCAGAGCACCCCTCAAGCCCTTGAGAATATCACTATCTCAAACAAGTTACAATTGAATCACCTTCTGGCCTTCGAATACAGCCCTACATGAGAAAACATCCGCCAAAGGAAAGCTGGAAATAAATCTCAAAAACCAAAAACTAAAGCTAAACAAAAGAAATAACAAATATATAATAGTATATTACTAGGAGCAATTGGGCGGCAACCCTAACACAAACAATTGGGTTGGTCGGCACTTCTACCTCCCTCCCTGAATTGGTCCAACTTTTCCAGTTGGACTAGTCGTCAGTTCAGTAGAGCCCCATGTCATTGCATCCCAGAACTTTTACAAATTCAAACAGATAAGCAAGTATGAAATGTGTTCCTATATCACTCTTCAAAATTTTATTTGTTCATATTTAACCCGCTAATAAATAACAATTTCAAGCCCAAAGTTGTTCCACTCACAATTAATTTAAATAATAATAATAATTATCTTTTAAATTTAAACTTATTTAAGAAAAATTAGATAGGCGTGCGTTATATTTAAATATTAAAATGAACTGAACATGATTCAACAAAAAATTGTGTTCAAATCATTTGAAAAATGAGCTTGAACTACTTAAGTTCAACAAATTTTCATAACTAAAAGATCAAAGATGAGTTAAGTTTCTTAACAAACCGAACACTGAAACACTTAAAACAGCCTAGCTAGCACACACTAAGCCTTCTATTGAACCTTATTTAGTATTTGAAATACGTTTCATATATCTTACTAAAGCTTCTCAGCCCTATATCCCATCAAGGAAACAATTAACCAAATCACAAAGTTTCTTTAAGACAAGGATTTTTCACCGTTATGACAACTGAGCATTTTCTTATGATAAAGGCAGGTATATGTTTGAACAAAAATTAGATAGTAATATTATGATTATGCACTTATCATGACATTTTCACACTGAAAAAACAAGTTTGTATCATGCATAATGCTCTATGGCCTCAACTTTTCATATAAAAAAAAATATTATGATGAAATTTGAAGTAAAATAATTTAAGACATTGTTCTACGATGAATACAACATAAATGTAAATTAAAGATTCATGTATTCCATTCATCTCAAAATACATCAAAAAATTTTAATATTCATCCTAACTAATATTTTTACCATAATATCCCGTTACAAAATAGAAGGCACATCCAGTTATCTCAAAAGTATAGTTCAAAAATCTAAGACAGGCTTAAAATTCACCTCTAGATATAAACAGCAATGTTTTCATATAGTTTCTTGATGAAGATTAAAACTGTCATTTTGAAAGCCTTGAACTTGCTTTAAACATGTTACATACTTTGCATATAATATAACAGTACAAAATATAAGCAAATAATCAATCATTCTATGGCATCAAAGTTTTGCTCAAACATCTGAATCTTGGTTTGGTTTTCAAGTCTAAACTTACAATAATATTTGAGGGCCTAACAGCCGCTCTTCTGCCAGTTCAGCCAGCCGTAGCATCACTTTCTCAGCCATATTGGTGTACGCTTTAGCTGAAGCGGAGTTAGGTGCAGAGACAACAATGGGATTACCTTCATCTGAGCCACTTCTGATATCTATTTCTAGAGGAACCTGTCAGATTTGCAGAGAGATGACAAAGAAGAAAAAATCAGGTTGCAGAAAAGGTTCCAAGGCTTATAGGATCTGATCCTCTGGAGTTAATGATGATTATTGCATGGTGTAAACTTTGTATTACAGTTTTAACCTGTACGGTATGAATCCTACCAATATGAAGACATAATGCAATTTGGTAAGGATTCCAGATATTACGCCGAGCAATTAACATGGTGATTGAGAGGATGTGGAACCTAGTGATGCAATTGATTGAAATAATTACTTGCATAGCCCTCAAAAGTTGTGTATTAGAAACTAGAACCAATGTCTTTTTTATTAAGTACTAAACCCTGTGTCATGATCAAACTAGTTGGAATTTAATAAAAGCTAAAAATAAATGTTTGGCTTTTATTATTAGCTTCAATATTTGTGGATTGAAACACCATGCGAAAAAAGGGCTAGTTTCATAAGTAGCAATGTTTCAAGTGCTATGTATAAAAATGCTAGTTTTGTGTATTTTCTTTCCATACGTTGTACAGTAGAACAACAGAAAGAGAAAATTTATCAGAGCACATTTTACTGTTATAAAGTACAATCATAATCTACAATTTAAACTGCTTCACCATAGTTCTTTAATATTAAATGTCTAAAAGATGGTTCCCTGTTTTCCTTGTTCAAGGCAAACTTAGAATTTGCATATTCATGCCCGGAGGAGAGCTATGCTGAGAAGGATCTTATCAATCAAGCAAACCCCTACAAGTCTGAGAATTCTATGTTTGTAGAAACCTGAAGAAAGATCACATGTGATCTACAGAGAATCAATGGCAGATTTGCACATTCAAGATCAGCAAATCTTTGACAGAAAATATGCATGCAATTTTCAAACTTCCAACACTCTCTCTCATGCGGTATAATAAATGGTTTTGCTTCCCAACTTATAAATTCTTAAAATCATGAAGTACGTAGATCATTGGTGATGACTTCAACCAGTTGATTATTTGATAGTATTTAATGAGCATTGACATTGTCCTTTTTTTTTTGAAATGTCCATCCACTTCAATGTTCCTGTGTACAATATTGATAGCAAATTTGTTGTTGAAGTAGAATTTCATTCTCTTCGCTATTGATTTTAAGATCATCATGAATTATTTTTAGGCATAGAAATTCCCATATTACATTACTCTTCACTCTTGATTTTAAGATCATTATGAATTATTTTTAACCATATAAATTCTCATAATACAAACTTATGACTCTAGACTTGGCTCCAACACTTGATCTTGCAACAATGGCTTGGTTCTTACTTCTTCAAGTGGAAATTTACCTCTTAAGTACAATAAACTGATGTGAATCTTCTATCTACAAAAGAATTACAATCGACTACAGATGTATCAAACCACTGGAACCTTTTTATTTCTTCTAAAAAAGATCCTTCTGCATGGTTTGGCTTGAGATGGTGTCAAATCCTATGGGCAACTTGTAAGTTTCTGAGATTATGCATGAATTGACTCACCGAGCAAACAATATAAGCTTATATATAACTTATGTATAGCCTAGTGTGGGATAAGTAAATCAATTTCCAGACTAGTCGCTAAAATCAATTGTATTGCCATATTTCTGTTCACCTAATCAAATGATTAAGCCGAACAGTTTTACTAGTTGCCCTGCAATTAAGTTTTCGTCGCTTTCATTTCAACATTCATTTATTATTAGGAAATAAAGAAGCTTTTCTTGGAATGTCATTTGATACCCAAAAAGTATTTTAGCATTTCAAGCTCTTGATAAAAAAACTGTTTGGTAAGGAATTTTCTTATTATAATAATATCATCCTCATATATCATTACTTCAGGTGCCACAAAATCTAATACATCCATATGACCCTCCTTGGATCATGTATGTAGTGGCTCACCACGCTCACTGCAAAAGAGATGTCGGTTCAAGTGTGACACAGATAGATCAGACGACCCATCAATCTCTGGTACCTCTCATGATCAATCGATTCTCCTACCTCTGCACTCAGCTTGGACTTTTGGTCAATTGGAGAGATTGTAGGCTTGCACCCCAACATGCTTATTTCAATAAGAAGATCTAGTACATGCTTTCTCTGAGACAAAACCATCCCTTCAAGTCCACATGCCACTTCAATCCCAAGAAAGTATCAAAGTTGTCCAAGATTCTTCACCTCAAAATTCATTGTCTAATCTTCCCTTTAGTTGGACAACCTATGTCTCATCATCACCAGTGTCAATGATGTCATCAACATGCACAACAAGTATAGTGGTGTAACTTTCATGTCGTCGAAAGAATATCATATGGTCTGCATTGATCTGTTGATATCTCATGCCCACCATAACCTTTTTAAACTTTTCAACCAGGCTTAAGGAGACTACTTCAAGCCATACAATGACTCCTGAGCCAACACACCTTCCCCACTATCTATACTGTAGGAAATTCTGGTGATATATTCATATATAGCTCCTCCAGTAACTTATCATGGAGAAATGCATTCTTCACATCAAGTTGTTGTAACCTCTACCCATCATTCACTGTCAGAAGAATAAGTGTCCCCACTGTGCTCATCTTTGCTACTCATGTAAAGGTTTCATCATAGTAAATGTCATAAGTTTGACTGTACCATGTCGTTACTAGTCATGTTTTGTACCGCTCCACCTTCACTTTTGGAGTTTGTTCCACTGTGAAGATCCACTTGCAACCAACTGCCTTTTTCCGCGTTGGTAGTGACAATATCTCCCATGTTCGGCTTTCTTCAAGAGAACTGAGCTCTTCATGCATAGTGGTTTTCCACAAGGATCCTCCTTAGCAATCTTCCAATACTTGGGTATAGAGACAGTGTTCAAAGCTACAATGAATGCTCCATGTAAAAGTAGTATGTTAGAGTATGAAGCAAAGTTCGCAAAGTCATGTTCCCACCCAAAACGATAGGGAGGATGTCTCACATTGTTACAAGAGGTCCTCCTTAAAGTTCTGGGGTTAGGAGGAGGAATCATATCACCTGAGGTTGATAGTCTGGGTGTTTCAAGAGTTGGGGAAGACCAAGACAAGAAACTAGCAGACACAAGTGGCACTGCATGCATTGCTTCCTCATTTTGTTTCCTTCTCTTTGTATACATCATTAGCTCACCTTCAGCGTGAATCCCACCACCTCTGGGATCACTCACCTCATTTTCGGGTTCCTCAACTAATTCATCCCACTTTACAAGATAAGTTATTGCTCCCACTTGCATCACTCCCACCATTGCTACTCACCGCCCTGCCTTATATCTCCAGTATTTGGTGAGTCACCGAAGGGTGAAGTCACATCCTCGGTGTAGTATGGCTCAAATTCTTTAAATGACACATCCATACTCATAGTCTCTTCTCTACTGGGCTCTAGTAGACATACCCATTTTGGGTAGTATAATAACCTGCGAACACACATTTAAAAGCTCTAAGCTCCAGCTTCCCTACTGTGACCTGTTATACTTCACAAAACATACACAACCAAGCAACTTTAATTGGAGGATCCTGTTATTATCTCCTTATAACATCAAATAAATAGACTTACAATCCAACACCAATGAGGGCATCCTGTATATCAATTGAGCAGCTGTCAAAACTATTTTTCCCCATAAGTGTTTGGGGACATTCATTGTGATCATCATACTTCAGGCTACCTCTAGAAGACATCTATTATTCCTTTCTGCTACTCCACTTTATGTCGGTGTGTATAGACATATGATTTGATGTTGTATCCCTAAATTTAACAAGTCTTTCTTAAATGCTTTGTTGATATACTCTCCCGTTATTAAACTTTAATACATTCACTCCTGCATCATATTGAATTCGAATTACTTTGTGAAAGTCTTTAAAGCAAACAAACACCACCCTTATTTTTCATTAAATATAACTAAGTAACACGCGAAAAATAATCAATAAATGTTATAAAATATCGATAATCATTCATAGAACTTGTATAACAAAGTCCCCAAATATCAAAATGTATCAAGTCAAAAATATCAGAACTTCTATTCCAAAATTGATATAAGAGCTCATAGTAAGCTTGTCAAACTCACAAGCATCACAAACAAGCTTTTGTTTATTTGTCTTTTCAAATAGAGAAGGATACAATCGACTCAATAAAGTATAACAAGAGTGTCTCATGCGTCTGTGATGTAACAGCAACAAATGCTTCACATTCCTTCCAAATTCTCTTACTTCAGCAGTCTCTACCATAGAAGCCAAAGTTGAGTCCATCCAGTCTCATGCGTCTGTGATGTAACAGCAACAAATGCTCCACATTCCTTCCAAATTCTCTTACTTTAGCAGTCTCTACCATAGAAGTCAAAGTTGAGTCCATCCTCTCTAAGTCCAAGTACTAGAGTGAAATATGTCACATTCCAGTCTCAAGTGTTTGGTCTGTCCCTTTCACTTGGAAGATCACCATAAAAATATCAAAAGAAACAACAGATTTTAGTTAGAAAATAATGACACTAATAGATAAAAAGTTTAATGAAAAAGAAAGAACATGCAGAACATTGGACAAAGTCAAATAATTGGTACCCCTCACTGTACTATTACCATCAAGAGGTTATGTTGTACGATCAGCAGTCCGAAGGTTCTCTGACTACTAGAGTAGTATAAGGAGAAAACTATCTAAGAATACTTATCACATGTCGAGATATACCTGAATCTATTATCCATTATGATGATCTCGTGGTGAAAATAAAGAAAAGCATGTGTATCACAAGTACTTTTGTCAGACTGAGCATAAGTGTCAATTTTACCCATTGATGATGACTGTTTGTAAGCATCATTGACCACATATCCTATTGTTTTTTGCTTCCTCTTTAACAATTCAAACACTCATGATCCTCATTGGTAAAAAACACACGTCTCTCCCTCCTTTGCTACCATCAGATATGCTCGGCAGCCCCCTTTTCCACATTTTTGACTACCACGACCACAACCACAACCTCCACTTTGTCCTCATTCACCTGTCTCTTTCTCCTTATGAGACC